CCCCGCCCCCAATGGGCAGGAATCCGGGCCAAGGGGAGCAGTGGGAGGGCGGTACCTTGGAGGCACAGAGCCTGGTAAGTGCCCCGCATCCCCAGATCTCGCAGCCCCCCATCCCCCTCACACACTCCTCCCGCCAAGAGCTCACACCCCCGCGGTACCTTGGAGGCACAGAGCCTGGTAAGTGCCCCGCATCCCCAGATCTCGCAGCCCCCCATCCCCCTCACACACTCCTCCCGCCAAGAGCTCACACCCCCACCCTGCTCCTGCACCTCCCTTCCACCCAGACCCCCCACCTTCAATCTGCTCCTTCACCCTACCTCCCGGCCAGACACTGCACCCTCCCCTGCATCCATTTTGTCATCAAGGGTCGTTGGCTGGTGTCGGCGGAAAGGTTTGCATTCAGTGGGTTGGGCTGTGGGCCAAAAAGTTTGAGAACCACTGGACTAATGATAGAATGTCAACAGGGGTCTCTGCAAAGCTGGATTTTGCTCATGGCTACACCGCGGCAAGTCAGTTTCCCCTTCTGTTAAAGCCAGGACAAATGATACGAGTGCCTCTGTAAAACCCTTTGTGGGCTGCTAATGGGGTGTAGCACAACACAGGAAAGGAAGTTTGGTTTGTATCTCTTTAAGGGGCACGGTAAAACCCTAAAACACAGAGAAGATCATCAGAGACTCTTCCCTTTGCAAAGCCGGCTCTCATACGGGGGGATTCATAGATCCCTAAGCCGGAAGGAAGCATGGTGGCTATCCCGTCTGACCCCCTGGCCAGAGAGCTGCCCCCAAAACAGTTCTCGGGCACCGCGGGACCCCCAAAGCGCGAGGCCTGAGGCAGCCACCCCAGTTTGTCCAATTCCCCAAGTAGGTACTTCCAGACTGGGGTCAAGACAGCCCTTAACCTCCTCCTGGCTGAGGTAACCTGACTGAGTCTCTCGCCACGAGGCAGGTTTTCTAAACCAGGAATCGTTCTCATGAGTTTCTCTGAGCCCGCTCTAATGTACCAATATGGTTCCGGAAGGGAGGTTTTATGTCACGAATCCGGGGCTCGGAGGGCACTTTTATGGTAAAGTCTCACTGTGTCGGTGGCGTTATTGCGGGGAGGCTGCTCTGCTCTGTGGGATTCTTAGGGTGGCCAGGTTTCGACTAGAAAGCCTGGCTAAGAGGAGGACCTGACGGTGTCTGATCAGGTCTATTGTCCAGACACCCAAAGTCTGGTTAGTGTGGGCAGGGGAAGTGCCAGG